CCTAGAGGGTAGGGGTAGCTCAAGACCATGCTCCTAAAATTTTGGCCTCAGGGAACACCTCCTCTCAGGTCTCATAGCCTCGTTCCCCGCCACCCTCCACCTCTCTATGTATATCTCATTCAAGCTCCACCTTGGCCTCTTCAAACTCCAAAACATCCATATGCTCAGTCAGTCAGTGAGAGTCCTTGTGCTCTGGTTAGATTCCATCTCTCTTAACCTCAACCTGAAAACTCCCTTCAGGTAACAAGCTGATGCAATTCTAGGACTCACCTTTTTCATTTTCCTTTCCTCAAGATCATAGTTCTTTCCACATGTCCTGATATTCAACATGTGAAAATTGTTATTGTTTTAGGTGGAAAGGTAAATTCAAGTTCTGTTATCTTATCTTGGCTAGAAGTAATGTTACCAGTAGCAAATTCTTATGGGTCTGCAGCAACCTCAATTCTCACCTCAGAAGAAAGAATTCAACTAAGGGGCAAAAGGTGGAAAGAGGGACCAAAGCAAGATTTAGAGCAACAGTGAAAGTTTACTAAAAAGCTTTAGAGCAGGAAGGAAAAGAACTAAAGTGCCCTTGGAAGAGGGCTAAATTGGTGACCTGGAAGATCAAGTGAATGGTTTGAACTTTGGACTTGGGATTTTTTTTAATAAGCATTCAGGCAATTTGAGATTTTATTGAGAAAATAGCTATTTTGACATTAGATCCAGTTTCTCCTTTATCAGGATAAATTTTTTACAATATTGATCACCATAATTTCAGTGTATTTATACATAGTCTCTGAATAAAATATATTTACACTCAGCAATTCTAGAATATTGAAATTATAGCCAACATTGCTTACTTGAAGGTTGTTTACTTTATAATGAAGCTATAGTGTTTGTGCAACTAGAACAGATGTTTTTAAAATGTTTTCCATTCCAAGATAGGCTTGGTGGGACAAAACTAATAGCATACTACATACATATATTTCTTATCTTCTTTACTGTCAATCTTTCAGAATGCTAATGTGACATCACAAAACACCTCAAATTCTTAGTTCGAAATGAATAGAAAAATGGAAAAACATGTTTTTTTATTTCATAAAATTAAAAATCAAGTCATAAGAGAAGTAAAACTCATTTTTATGCATTTAACTTAAAAGCTTGAGTATACTACCCTTTCTCCTAGAGAGACAGAAGCCAGCACTGAAGAAGTAGCCATTAGTTAAAAGAACAAATGGCCCCATGACTATCTCTAAGGTTCATGACTTGCTGAGGGCTGATGGAAACTCTGGCAAGTTATTTTTCATGATTTTCAAGGATCTGGGATATGTAAATGAAATGATTAAAAGACATTTCTCTGAATTTTTGAGAGGAAGACTGAAGAATCAGAACAAAGATCCAACTGCCTTTCATGTGGCTACATGTTCACTGTTATGCCACAACTCAAAACACACAGGCGAGCCTTTTTTCAAATACACATTTGAAACAGTGTTCCATATATAAAGTTGTATATTTTGCAAAAAGAAACAAGATGCTTCTTTACATATGATTAGTAATCTTATTTTAGACTCTGAAGTAAAATCAAACATACTTAGCTAACCCTCTCAAATTTGGAGGCCTAGTGAGGTTTAAATTTTTTGGATATAGAATCTGCTTAGAATTTAGTAAAAACTATGAAACTTAGACAGTCTTCAGTAGTGAAAAACACTCGAAAATATTAAACTTCCTATGCTTTGTCACTGAAGCAACTATAAGCTTGCTATGATGTATGTATCATACTAGCTTATATGTGACTTTAGTGTCATAAACACCCATTGCCTTTTTGGCACATTTAAAGCACAGCCAGAGAAGGTTTGGAAAATTGTTCTGGAAATACAAGTTGGTTCCCTCTGCCTCATAGATGGAACTGAGATTCTAAAGGAAACTGAGAATCTAAGGAAAGATTCTAAGGAATCTTAGATTCTAAGGCCAACTGAGATTCTAAGGAAAGGGGCTGGAATAACCAGGGACTTCACAAATGCCTAAATAACCAACATATATATTCCCACAGCCATCCCCCTCTCAACACCATGATCCAAGGGAGTCTTGATCTGTCTCTTTCCATTTTACTTCTGCTGGCTAGAGGGGCACCCAACAATAAGAAATCTTTGCAATGAGTACAAACTAGCAAAAACATTCTAGGGTAGCATTTCCTTAGGTGTATCTCTCTGAACACAAGTCCCACAAGATACCTATTTAAAAAAACATTCAGCTGGGTGTGGTGGCTCATGCCTGTAATTATAGCACTTTTGGAGGCCAAAGTGGGCAGATCACCTGAGGTAAGGGGTTCAAAGCCAACTTGGCCAACATGGCGAAACCCCATCTCTACTAAAAATACAAAAATTAGCTGGGTGTAGTGGCAGGCACCTGTAATCCCTGTCACTTGGGAGGATGAGGCAGGAGAATTGCTTGAACCTGGGAGGCAGAGGTTCCAGTGAGCTGAAATCGCTCCACTACATTCCAGCCTTAGCAACAAGAGTAAGACTCCATCTCAAAAACAAAAACAATCCATATTAAAATAGATTAGGGAAATGGTGTATAACATAGATGTGCTTCTTGGAGATTGAAAGTACACATTAGCATACCAAAGGTTCTGAAAAGCCAACAGTAACTCAACTTTGTCTAACCCACTATTTCCCAAACTTACTTGTCCAAGGAACCCTCTATTCACCTAACAACATATTTTGACAAAACACTCCTTTAGGAACTGCTTCTCCCAAAACGAAAAAGATGATTTTAAAAAAATATGACAGCACAGTCTCTTCCCTGATGTTCTAAAATCACTAGTTTACCTAGTTATAGAATCTCATGCAGGACCAGTGTTAATGCAACACCCTCTCAGAGCCTTTCCTTCATACCTTCACTTAGAAGTTACTCTGTGCTCTTCCAAATATCACAGTTCCAAAACAGAACACAGTGACATAGCATCTGTCTTCATTTGTTAGGTAGTTGTGATGTTATGGAATGTTTAGGTAATCCCAATTTGACGAAGTGAGTAAAATATGTAAAAATGCCATTTTTATATTATCTAGTAATTTCTACAAATGTACCACAGATCCTGGTTAAAGGCTCAGAGATGGAATTAGCCTCAAAGTGTGAGGCTTGGTGAGAGTACAGCTTTGAATATGACCCAGTAATAATTTTTTGAGAGGTTGTTTATATTTAGGCCATGACAGAATGTCCAGAATGTCCTTTGTTAAAATGTCTATATTAAAACATCATGCAATATACAGGATTTTGGCTCAAGTGGGGAGAAAGAAGAAAAGGAAGAGGAGAAGAATAGGAGTGGTGGTAATAATCAAATAAATAACAAATGTTCAGTGCTTGCTATAAGACTGACAGTATACTAAACACATTGCATGTATTCATTCCCTTAATTCTCACAAAAATTCTGAGTGATATAGTGCTATTATCCCATCTACCTTTGAGGAAACCAAGGTATAGACGAAGTATATTTCCCAAGGTTACACAGCTCATTCTCAGAGGAGTCAGGAGAATCACTGATAGCAACTAAAATTCAATAGATATTATGTGTATTTAAAAATGTGCTTTTTAATCTAAAATGAAACTAATGGCTGGAATTCATCATAGGGTAAGAAAAAAAGACTGGAAAAACTCAAAGAAAGATCCCTTTGTTTTCCGCCAGTCTCATCTTTTCTTGGATTTGCTAACGACTGTGGTTGAACGGCACTACAGAAAAACCTTGTCATTAATAAAAAAACTTGCTCCTCCTGTTTCTGAATCTCCTCTAGCTCTTCTCACTCCTGGATGTTCCTTGGTTGTCTTTCTAGGCTAAGTTATCCTCCATGATGTTACCATTACAAGGTGCCCAGATGCTGCAGACACTGGAGAAATACTTGAGGAAGAGCCTCCCAGCATCCTTAAAGGTGATAATGGAAAATTATGAGAGGAATAAAGAAGACAAACTTTCTGTGAAAGAGGGAGGAAAGGGACTAACATTTATGGTGCGCCTATTTTGAGTCAGGCACTATTTCATGTTTTCTCTTATTTAGTTTGCCCTTCCTCTCTACAAGATATTTACTATCAGGTCCATGTTGCTGATGAGAAAATGAAGATTCGGTTAACTGATTTGCTCAATATACCACAAGTACTGGGTTGCAATGCTATAACATGAACACAGGTATGCCTGAGTCTAAACACTGCCTTTTGTTCTGTGCTGATTCAAAAATTACTTCCTTGCTCCTTTACAAAAAAGCATTTTATAATAACACTTGAAATTTGCCTAGAGTTCTCCTACAAATTTGGCTGAGGCTGCAGGTTAATATTTAAGTTGTTCATTACAAAAGGACACCTGCCAGTGAGAGGTTAACCATCATGAGTCTTCTTTGAAACTAATAACAGATCAATTTCTATTTTAACTTAAGTTTCCCAGTTGCTTTGAATTTAAGGCATGTTGAGTTACTTTAGGGTTAACTTCCAGTATCAGTATCTCTCTTAACCTGGTATTAATAATTAGAATTCTCATAATTTAAACAAAACATATATATATATATATATATATATATATATATATATATATTCCTACATTCAGAACTATGCAAGGCAGCTCCAATGATAGAGTCAGATTCTTGTCTGTATATATATTTAGCAAGGAAGGGGATATGGCTCACTCCAGCGGAACCCAGGTACAATTGTGCATGTATGTGTGTGTGTATATCTCTTTAGTGGACAATTACTTTTACATTTTTATTGTTTTATAAGACATTCCTATATATTGCATAAATTTCAGATAAATACATTCAAATTTCTCATTCCCTAAATGATTTGTTCTTCTCTTCTTTTAGTATAAAGGATAAAATGTTGCCATTCTTTTGTGAATATAGTTTTATTTTCATTATTTAGAGATGAATTAATGAAACAACAAGGTTTATTCTTTATTTATTAACAACACAATATAGCTTAAAATAAGCTAATCTAAATCTAAAGTCACCCACCTTGGTAACTCCTACTTACAATAATCAAAATTACCTAATATTTAAGTCCCTTCACATTACAATTCTTATCCAAACAACCCCCCAGAAAGACAGAAAATTTTTCATGGAAGACATACTAGTTAGACACTGTATGCACACTTGGTTGAAAGATTTTTATGATTAGTGGCTACTTTTAAAAATTCTCCAGGCTAAACATTTTTTCAATGCTCTGTGATGTAGAATTTTGTTCTTTAAATTTCTCCTTATTCCTTGTGTTAAGTGGATCCTAAACATTTTCAGAAAACTATTGGTGTTTCCTTATGGTTCCTTCTTGGAGCACTTATGTAGTGAGATAAGGAGAACCTCATGACTCCTTCCCTTCATGAGGAAATAGCATTCCTCCTCTTTGGATGCATATTAAAAGACATATATTTTCCCCTAATGGAGCTCTAAAATTTTTTATGCCAAGTGCTTTTAATGGAGGTTTATAACCTAGAATTCACTATTACTCAACAATTTCTTGAGGCCTAGTTAAGAAAATTGTCCATCCATTCTTCTGAGTGTTAGATATAAAATGCATAAAGATGTCCACTACAACTGATTAAACTGATAACAGCTGCCTCACTATGTTCTATTCACTAGTGTGAAAGGAAAGTATCTTGGGCCCCCCAAATCACTAAAGAAAACTCAAGTTGGAAATTGCTTAGGGCAAACTTGCCTCCCATTCTATTCAAAGTTACCAAGATAGCTGCATAACTGATTGCCCCTTTAGAAAGGCCAACTAGAAACTCAAAAAAATGAACTGTTTGTATCTCACTTATCTGTGACCTGAAAGCTTCCTCACTGCTTCAGGTCTTCCTGCCCTTGCTTCAAGATGTCCCTTGCTTTAAGATGTTTCACCTTTCCAAGCTGAACCAATGTATTTCTTATGTGTATTTACTGAGGTCTCATATCTCCCTAAAATATATAAAACCAAGCTGTGCCCTGACCACCTTGGGCACATGTTATCAGGACTTAATGAGGCTGTGTCAGGGGCATATCCTCAACCTTGGCAAAATAAACTTTCTAAATTAACTGAGACCTGTCTCTGATTTTCTGGGCTCAGATTTTGGCAATCATGGGGGGCATTCTGAGTGGAGATGCCCCTGACCTTTAACAAATCTCCTATTAGTGCTTGCTACCATCATACGCTAACTTTATGGCTCAAACTAATAGGACAATTTGCCGAGGTCTGTGAGCACTCCCTCCAGACAACCCTGATCTCCCCAAATTTGGCCAAAATCTATAGTTTATTTTACTGTACAACTCCTCTTTTTTTGGAGTTTTCCTTGCTCTCGACAGGCAAGCAAGTTTTCCTGCTTCCATGACAACTCCATTCCTTTATGGAGTTGAGCTCTCTCCCAACAGGAAAGTTAGTTTTTTTCCCCCTGCTTGTAGAATGGTAGGAGCAGTCTACAGCCTGACACCCATCCTAAACCAATTAGAAAGAAATTGTTTTCGGATTCTGTCTTGCAAATTCCTTTCAAAAACTAAAGTTAGCATTTAACAACTACTTGGTGTTAATTTCTGCTTACACTTATATTGCTCAGAAATAATATAATTTGTGTGATCACTGTTAGTTTGCTTAACTGCTTTGTTCCTTGTATTTTTCTTGATCAAATCCAAAGAAGATTCCTAAATTATGAGGAACAAGGCCTCTGATGTGGGAGGAAAATGGCTAGCAAAAGAAAAAAAAAAGATTGTTAATTTTAACTTCTAAAAGAGCTTTATTTACATAATAAGACCACTTTTTGCCAGCCAGACCAAACTGAAAGAGCAATGGCTATACTTCTGTTATATGTAAAATTTTTGGTGTCACAAAAGAAGTAGCACTCAAATATAAATTTCTTCAGCAAGACAATTTACTTCTATAGAAGTGTATGGCTCACAGATGGAACAATGGTGAGTGCACACCCAGACAAAGGAGGGTAAGGGGTTCTTATTCATGATGAAGATAGCCCCTACTGCTGTGTCATTCCCCTGTTGGCTAGGGTTAGACTACACAGTCTGGGCTAATGCTGATTGGCTATTTTAAAGAGAGCAGGGGTATGAGCCGGAGTGGTGGGAGTAGTTTGATGGAGTGGTGGGGGTGGGTAGTTTGGTGGGAAGGATAGTTATAGGACTGGTCAGAGCAGGTAACCAGGGGTGATGCAGGTCAAAGCAGGAGACTAGTGCAAGTGACTGGAGCATGTGACAGGGAAGAGTCAGGATGGCGCAGTGGACCAGGGTAACAGAAGTGAGCTACTCATTAGAATTGGTGGAAAATGTTGCTTATTGAAACTACAAGGAAGTTAAGCTTTAAAATGGAGGTCAAAGAACTGAACATACTGACATACTGATTCTTTGAAGAAAAATTTAGAACTCATTGTATCCAACAACTCCCTCTTGAATTTTCCTTACAGCTCTTTCTCTTCAAACTTCCTTAACATGTCTTAGCTTAGTTGTTCTGCTTGATTTTCTAAAAGAAGTAGTTTCTCTGAAAAAGGTAGAGGATAGTTAAGGGATGTTTTGTTAAGTGTTGCTTCTATGAGTCTCTGCACCAACCCACAGATGCACGGTATGACACAACAATTCATTTTTCTAGCCACCCTGTGAATGGGTCATTTACACCTGAGTTGTTAGCTAACTCATTGGTCAGAGCAGTTAGACCTTGCAATGCCTTTCTTATACTTCCATGGGGCAGGGGTAGGGTACTGTTTGGGATGAAGGTACAACACTGAGTTTTAATCATGATGCAAACTCCTCCTCTTTCTGCTAATATAATGTCTAAGGCTATTCTATTTTCCCAAGCCATCTGGCTAGTAGCCCCTAATTGCTCAGCTATTCCTTTAACACTATCTCTAGTGTAGTTAATAAACTGCTGTTGGTTGTAACAAATATAATTTATTCAATCTATGTTTTTCTTAATTGTCAACCACCAAAATATTGACTCAAATCCTGCAGCTGTTTGATCTTGGGCTTTACATTTATCTGGTACTCCTCCTGGGACTCCAATTGCATCTAAATAGACATGAGAGTTCAAAGATGGTAACTGTTCTTTCCCAAAGCAAACTTCTTTCATGTCTGTGGACTAGACTACCTAAAGACACAAGATTGGAAGTTAGGATAATACATGTTACACTGTTAACTTTTAGCAAACTTTATAAATAAGTGTCATCCTGTAACACATTGGACTATCCATGGGTTACTCGGTTAAGGACTTGTGATAGGGAGACTATAGGTTGTCAGTGGCTTCTGTGCCTTTGGGTAAATATTTCTAAGGCTATGCCCTTGTTTACACTGAGAAAAAGATGGAATGGCTGCTTAAGGAGGGTAGAGCTAGGACAGAGGCAGTTACTAATAGATGTTTTAAACTTTCCATCTGTTGGATTTCTGGTAATTGCCAAAAGAGGGGATTTGTTCTGTATTGCATGAGCTTTCTGTATAAGGGTTTTGTTTTTAGGGCATAGGAGTCTATCCATAGATGATGGTATCCAACTAATTCTAAAATTTTCTAAGTTCTTGTTTAGTCTCCAGCAGAGGCAGGGTATGATGCCTTCCATATGTTCAAGGCAATATGATGCATTCAATACATTCAAACTTAATTTTCTGTTTACCTTTGCTAATTAAATTATTTGTTCTAATATTTGACTAAACAAATGTGGAGATTCTATAAACGCCTGGAATAAGATTGTCCATCAGTATTGCTATTTTCGACTGGAGTGAGGGTCTTCTCACTCAAAGCCGGATAGGTCTTGGCTGTCCTCTACAAACAGACAGGCCCAGAAGGTATCTTGTAAACCTATTACTGCAAATTACTGGTGACTGTAATAGTATGAGGATTGGGAATAACAGGGTTTAAGAAGCCCATCACTGAGAAGACCTTCAATTATCAATTATAGGTTTTAAATTTACTCTGGCTTTTAAAGAAATAG